AGTAAATGTAACGAAGTAAATGTAATTCATTACTACCCACCTCTGCAGGCAGGCTTGTTGGCAACGTATTGACGACGGATAAAATGCATACGTACATTTTCTCGGTCATAAAACGTGGTCTAAAATATCTCACGACTGAGTATTAGACAATTAAGTGTTTTATGAAAAGAATTGAAATACTGTTAATAATTACAGAGGCTAACAGATGCGACACAATTCAGAAGTCACCTATTATATGCTGCTAAGTAATGTAATGCTCCCTGAAGTTCCATTACTGTAATGTTACTCATAATGTAAACTTAATGTTGTCAGTAATAACTGATCCGATTTCAAATAGTAGTGGAAAGCGTACGTGGCAGCAAGTCAAGATGAAATATAAAAACATCATGTCAAAGTGGTAGGGCTTTGTATTTATATTTCTACTCATTATGAAAGATTTGTTGTGTCTCGCCTCCACTAATAGCGTGTTTCTATGTTTTACAGCTAATAAAAAGGTGTCTGTTCATATGACACTTAATAGAAGGTGAGCCACTGTTTAACAAACAATTAAATGATTTACAACAGGACAAAACAGAAGCATATGTGTAGTGAGAAAACGACTAGGAACCTGTCACCGCGGTTAAGTTAACTGAATATCGAATATGAGGCTTTCTGGCTTTAATATCTTTACGGAAGTAAAGTGGGCGTTTTTAATGACAGAATTTTGATGTCCAGTACACAGACATCGATGCACACCGATTATTTTTCTGCTTCAAAACATTGTGATTTGTGTCAAATCATGTTAATAGCTAATATAATAGGTCCTTTCAGCCTGTGACATGATGGTTTAGTATTTTGGGCTCATGGCGACTGTTCCACACCCCTTTGTTTCCCAGATTGCTTTACATGCGAATTTTAATTAATTTTTTAATGTTCGTGTCGTGGGGTAAGGTGTCGAGAGGTCTCAGGGTCGGGCAAAGACAACAAAACATCCAAAAAAAAACTTGGGATTGGTGATTTATTTAGGCATCAGCTCATGTTTTGGCTTCTCCCAAAAAATGCTCCAAAAACAAGAGAAAAAATAAAGAAAACAACAAAGGAAAACTAATACAAATAACTATCAAACAAACAAGAAAAACAAGTACACCAAACTGAACTGTGGCCTCTAGTCCCCACACACCTAAGGACCTCCCACTCCAAGAGCACACAAGTAGCTGGGCCCCAAAAAAAAAGAAACTAACCCTTCCACCATCTTATAAACCCTTGTCCCCGCCCCTCTAATTGGGAGCTACCATTCCCCTCTGGATATAAGGGTACCACCCTACCACAAGGGACAAAAGGGCAATACATATAAATAAAGACTCTACGTAGGTTCCATATGTGCGCGCCCATCTGCTTCCACCTTTGCCGATCCTGCAAACAAAAACCTTGGGAGAAAGATACCAAAACAATTCATTATTGTGGTAAAATGCCACTGTCCCCTTAACATAGTGAGGACGGTTCCATACGCGCGGCCTCACAGTTCGAATGTATCCGTATACTCATAATACTGTGCAGTCGACAATACATGAATGGGTTACTAACTTTAAAACTAGACAAGACGGGCACATCTAGTGAAGTGTGCTTTGATCAGTGGACAACAGGGAACAATGCACACCCCTTGGGTTTTCAGAATAACTTTCTCTGTAACAGTTATTAATTAATACATTGTATGCATATTATATGCCATTGCTCCATTTCATACATATTAACAGAGAGAGCCCCCCATAATTTGCACACCAATGTCATACGGATCATCCAGGTACGCCGGCATTGTTTTCGGAGAAATTGATGTGGGAGGGGCGGTGCTCATATAGGGCTGGCTTACGTGGAAACCTTGACTTAACCAAGAACAAAAACTGCTCGGAGCAGTTTTGAGACTTAGCGTAAATTGCCATAGCAACATGTCTCGACTAAAACCTACCCACCTTTCGTAGTACGGGTTAATCGTGAAGTTACACCACACGTCATCAAGTTACTCGCAAACTTACCCCGATAAGCCAGTTACCCCGCTTCGTAGTACAGGCCCCAGGTATCAAAAATAATTAATACAGAGTGATACTAAAGGGAGACATCAATTATGAAACAAACTTAGCCCAGCTTGAGAACAGGCTTTAATGGCTCAAACTGATCCAAACACCAGGAAAAGAGGATTAACAAGTTGTATTTGACCAGTAGGGAGGTGTCCTCACCAGGAAACCACGCACGTGCTCCCCACACATACCAAAAACACAGCAGTTATGTAACAGGCACATAAGACACTGCACTACAATTCAGTGCTGTCTAACCTTCTCCCCTCAGACTACAGCCCAGCTAACAGGCAATTGGCATTGAACATAAAACTAAACACAGGGCATCAGCCACTAAGCTTTACCTACTCAGAACATATAAGTTAAAACATAAATCAAATTCACATACAATTTAACAAATCCAGGACACTGTTAAATCGGCACAAACCCAATACCATTAAACGACAACAAAACGAAGTTAAAAAGAATAAAACTGTAAATATGGAGGTAAAAAAGTGCAGAAGCAAAAACAGCAGGTAACAGAATTATGCAGAAGTGAAACAGCAGCCCGTCTTAAATTCTTCTCCCTATAATTAAACCAGATAAGTTATTCATATGACAGCAACAAAACAAACGCTCAAGAGACAGCTCTAAACTAATAAACCACATAAAATGGTTACCCAGCTAGCCTGCCACGATTGCACAAGTACCATACATTACATTAAAACATATCTCGACAACAGGCAACAATCCAGCAACAAGTGGTGGGGCATTGGTAACAAGGTGGAGTACATGACCATCCATCTAAGAGTAGCCAGGGGTGGATGGCACAGGGTGCAATCTTAAAAATTTACAGGCCCACTGCTCATGTTGCATCAGCAGCAGTCAAACAACGATGCTGGGTCCCAAGTGTCAAAAAGAAACAGCCTGCTAGCCAATGGAAGCAATCACCCCACCACCAAGCACACGCTCAAGAGGTATCAAACTGCTCTCTTTATATGGAACACAACTAATTAAGAGCACGCTGAATGGGCAGGGCAAAGACATTTCAAACGCAGCAGGTAATCCACCCTGCTACACAAGCAAATGCTATTTCTGCTAGCATTTGATACTTCCATACCATGAAATCTCACAGACATGCTAGCAGAAATTAGCACACAGTTAAATAATAATAATGATTCAAGATTCTTTATTTGTCACATACATAGTTATACAAGCACAACATGTAGTGAAATGTACCCTGAACGACCCTTAGCCTGCAAATCAAAAATAGAATTAAATTTAAAAATCTTACAATAAACTAAAAGTTAAAAAATTAAGAATAAAATATGTACATAATATAGAGAAATATAGAATTTGTTCTAATATTGAAAATATTAAGGTTTAAACTGTACATGTGCATATGTTAGAACTATGTATTTAAAGTCCAGTGTGTCTTGTTGCAGGTGACATAAGTATAAATATAAGCAAAGATGGATATGTAATTTACAAATTGTTAATATAGCAGGTTGGTGACAGGTAGGAAGAGCTTACACGAGTTGTGTATATTAAGGATGTACTGGTGGCATGTCCTGATTAAGAAGTCTTATGGTGTGAGG